CTTCAGGGCTACTTTCAACCCACTCTGTGTCTAGTTTGTGCCTGGGATTAGCCTGGCCCAGGTGCAGGACCTTGCATTTTGACTTGTTGAAGCTCATGCAGTTTGCACTGGCCCATTTCTCGAGCCTGTCAAGGTCCCTCTGGATGGCATCTCTTCCCTCAGGTGAGTCCACGGCACCACAGAGCTTGGTGTCATCGGCAAACTTACTGAGGGTGCAGTCAGTGCCGTCATCCATGTTGCTGACAAAGATGTTGGGCAGAAAGGAAATAATGGTAAAATTTACATGTCACTACATGCAGTTTACCAAGTGAGTGAAAGAGTACCCATGTTAGAAACAGTGAACCAACTCAGTGCTCTAAAAGGAGCTCAGATTAAACAGGTTCTCTTAGTGTCTCAGCATCTATGAATGAGTTTTAATAATTCAAGCTGAATCTCCCTGTACTATTACAGCAAATTATACTTGCACAAATTTACAACATGGATCCTGTTCTTTAAGTGACACTAATCTTGGTCCATTGCATTAAATTAATTGCAGAGCCAAAAAAAAAATCTAGAGAGCTTCCATTCTTAAATTATTGTAAACATAGCCTGTGAGCTCCTCCAAGTAGAGGGCTGTGAACTTCAACATAGCATCTACATGTTTTGGTCACCACCACAACTATGCATCTGAGAACTCTTAATTTCCATTTTACTCTCATCTTTCTATTCTTTCCTCCCACACTTCAGCGCTTTGAAGCATGGCTTTTGTAGCTCAGAAACTACTCTTAGCATCCAGGCAGCTCTTGACTCAGCTTTCCACATGCCAGAACAACAGAGGTACTCTCGGACCTGTTCTAACCTCCCACAATATTTCTTGAGAGGTGGCCTGTAGCAAAAGCAGCAGGAAACACTTCTAGGACAGATACTTCCCTTCCCAGACAAGTGGCAATGCACAGCAGCACCAAAAAGTGATGATTGTACAAACTGGGAAGTTTTATTGAAGCTCTAGCTTCAGTGTCTTACCATATATACCTGGTCTGGAAAGTGGCCGTACAAAATAGCACCACCTGACTCGACAAATCTACTCCCTGTGCACATTAGGGAAACGGGACTGAAAGGGGTATTCCAGTTTATGCAGCCACATCCCATGGCATTGCAGACAATCACATTCTACCACATTGGTATGCTTTTTACATCTATGTTAAGAGTAGTTTGGTTTCTGTGTAGAAGACAGAAGTGCTTGAGTGCTCCAGAATCTTACTAATTTCATGGTAATGAACCTTTTAATTTCCAGCCTATGTTTGTTTAGAGCCAAATCTTCCAATTCCGGTTCATTTTCTCCTATAAGAAGTTCAGATCACAGCACAGGCTGTGATCAACTGTGATTTTCCTGGTTTCAGCTTGCTTGCTGCTTTCCCCTTGACATAGCCCCAGGGAAGAACCAGCACTGGTGTCACAGGGGCACAAGTGGAAAATGAGGAGGTGCACAGGTGTAGCCAAGAATCATTGCCTTCCAGAAGCCTCCCTTCTTTGTTATAAAACACCAGAAAAAAAACTAGCCCAGCTTATGACTCAGTGGTCACATTGGTTTTGTAAGGCATGTGGTTGGTGAGGAGGGGAAAATTAAAATAGTAATGCTGCCTCCACACCTCTGACTTGGTAGTAAACTTGTCTGAAGTTGAAATAGAGGTAGGAGAAGACAGGAGCATGGCAAAATTGTGAGTGTCCCTGAGTGAACCAAGTCCCTGCTGCTGAGCAAATAACCTCTTTCAAATGGGGGATACCACTGTGACCATGATGAGCTAAGATGTTCAGACTGGTGGCTTCTGGTTTAAACAGGCTGAACACAGAGCACTCTCAGCATGGGATTCTTGTCTCCAGACTTGACCTCCCCAGTGATCTGACAGAACTCGACTGGGTAATATTTATAACATGTTGCAAGGCCTGTTGTCTTGGGGGTGCTGGTGGATGAAAAACTGAGCATGGGCCAGCGATGCGTGTTCACAGCCCAGAAAGCCGATGGCATCCTGGGCTGCATCAGGAGAAGCGTGGCCAGGAGGTCCAGGGAGGTGATTCTTCCCCTCTGCTCTGCTCTGCTGAGACCGCACCTAAAGTACTGGGCCCAGCTCTGGAGCCCTCAGCACAAGAAGGACATGGACCTGTTGGAGTAAGTCCAGAGGAGGGCCATGAAGGTGATGAGGGTGTTGGAGTACCTCCCCTGTGAGGACAGGCTGACAGAGCTGGGGTTGTTCAGCCTGGAAAAGAGAAGGCTCCAGAGAGACCTTATAGCAGCCTGCCGGTACCTGAAAGGGGCCTGCAGGACAGAAGGGCAGCGTAGTGATAGGATGAGGGGTAACTGTTTCAAATGCAAAGAGATTTAGATTAGATAGTAGGAAGAAATTATTTTCTGCAGGGGTGGTGAGACACAGGAACAGGTTGCCCAGAGAAGCTGTGGCAGGCCCCCCCCCGGGAGGGTTCAGGCGCGGGCTCTGGGCAACCTGGTCTAGTGAGAGGTGTCCCTGCCCATGGCAGGGGGGGTGGAACCAGATGATCTTAAAAGGTTCCTTCCAAACCAAACAATTCTATGGTTCTCCAGGACTGCTTTTCGAAGCTGCTAACAGCTGTTGACTTTCAATACTGGCTGGATGCTTAGTTGCCTTTATAAATCTGTTAGATGCCTACCCACATCTTCAGGGGGGCTCTGATTAGGCCAACTTAGATATGATTAGGAGCAATAGTTAACAGATGAGATTTTTTTAAGCCCAAAAAAATACAGTCAGCTGCCAGCTAATACTGAGATGCTTGAGGTCTCCTTTGACACTGAAAACCTCGTAGAGACATGACTGGAGTTACTGAAAACTTTATAGGGTGGGACAGGGCTCACACCCACCTGTGCTATTTTTAGCCACACAAAAAAGGCAAAGCCAGTTCTTCTGATTGGTATTCTCCTAAAAGTGGTACATTGCTATGCTTCAGTCCTTTCTATGGCCCTAGCACTATGTATTTTTCTAACTTTGGCTCTGTGACTTTTCTGAGGGACAAATTGTGATTTGTAGAGACATCCTCTATTAAAACTCTGTGCTCAGCTGTATCTATCATGATCACCAAGATTCTTGACATCTTCAAGTATCTTAATATGTAAAAATGGACCTTTGTGAATCTTTTCAATTCTGTGTACCCCTGATTACAGAAATACCCTGATTTGCTGTCAAAACTCCCCATCACCCCTTCACTCTCAGACCTGAATCCCAGTGCTGCCTTGCACACAAAACGTAGGAAAGTCCTGAGTTGGACTTAGATTTTCTGACAATAGATGCTGCATGAAAAAAAAACAAAAAACCAACAACAAAAAAGGAAATGAGAAGGTATAAAAATACCTAATGTTCCAGTATGGTTTCTATAACTGCCTATTTTACACAGAAACTCCATAAGCAGTAAGAGACTATTTCTTGAAAAAGGAGCTGCACTTACCATGTCTTGGGAGGTATCTTGCTGCTAGGGTCATAGCCAAGAGGAAGATGATAATGATGATACTTGAAGCAATAATGACATTAAAAGAGGGAGGCTCAGTAGGGACAACACAGTCATTTTTTTTTTCTGAGACAGAAGAAATAAAACATAAATAAAAGGCCCAACAACTTAATGGCATTTTCATTTAAGAGCAGATATGTCGGTTTAGGTGGTTCTGCCCAAATTCTAACTCAAATAATCAGCTCAAAAATTTAGGTGCCAGATTTGTCTGTTTGTTTGAACAGATAAAGTTCTTTCATTTCTCCATGTTTGCTAGATGCTGAATTGTTTAACACCTCCACAGAATCTGAAATGCTGGTTCTTTGTCCAACACAGGACTGAGACAGGCAATATTTAAAACCATATAAGCTGTTTTTAAAGAAATTATTTAGGCTTGGTGGAAAAGTCTGTGTCCATATCTAGAAAATTTCCATTCTCAAAGGTACTCTACAGTTTTTCTTACTGTTTTCACCAGATATATGTCTAATTTTTTCCCCTCTGAATTCAAAGGCAATGGAGAACAATGAATTAGACAGACTAGAATAGACTTTTTTTTCTGCATAGCAGGAAAAGAGTGATGTGGTCGAGTTGAGTTTCAGTGGATCTGGAGCCTTTGGCATTTCACCACTGGAGGTGAGGGTTCTGCCACTTGGTTGCCAGAGTAGACAATGGGCCGTTCTTGTACAGCACAGGATGACCCTAATTCAACAGGAGGGACAGACTTGGTGTGTGTTTATAAGTCTTTCAGATTTTTGTCATTTGCATCTGGCGCAGTTAAGCATCATTCAGCTTCTAAGACACTAGGTATATCTGATGCACAACCTCCCCCTCCACTGCAGGGTTTGCTTCCTACGTTTATCAGAGGCTGTTCTCTGTCTGGAACTCGTGTTCATGAAAGACTTGTTTGGACGACCATTTCCACCATACCAAAATGGGAGTGGTTCCAACATCACAAAAAACAAAAAGTGGGGGGTTTGTGACTGCTCTTATCATGGTTGATTGCACCCTCCTCTGAGAATCTGCATGACAACAGTGTATTACTATTATTACTTTTTTTGTTACTCTCCTTTTCTATGTAGTATGCTATTAATAACCTTCTTCCGTTACCATCTCTAGGGACATTATGCACTACATCCAGCAATAGCCAATATTCATAAAGCACTAGTTTCTGGCATTCATCCTGAAGCTGAATGGCACCTCTCCTTACAAGCCCCTTTGATTTTAGTAAGATTGGTGAATAAAGTATCTTGATGAATAAGGTACAATTCCCTAGGAAAAACAGCATTTCTCTAGCTTCCCTTGAAGGTGCCCTTATTTCTACAGTGAAAACATTATATCCAGAGACATTTCAGAAAACTTTTTTGGTAATAACATTTAAAAAAATAAAATGTCCTTTTGGCTTTAAGAATTTTCTTGCAAATCCTCTTCTACTACAAAGCATCCAGACTGTAGCATGCTGCCTTCCCTCATGCTGTTTCCACTTGCGCTTCAAGATTTTAAAAGCACAGACTTGCCTATTGTGTTATCACTTTTAAGCCACACACAGTGATGGATTCTTTTTCCATATGAGTTAACCCTGTACTAAATATGTGCATGAAAGAATAATTTTCTCTAGACCCCAGCTGATAGTTTCTGTCACTGAAGCAGGAACAAATACACTTGTTAAATGAGGAAATTCTTTTTAAGTAAGCACATCCTATGGCTTTTAAGGCACATACGTTTCTCAAGCACCTCCATTCAAATACCAGGGCTGTGCCACACAACTGGCAGCGAGACCATGCCAGTCCAGAGGGATACTGAATGACATTAGGCCCAACATGTGGGAGCCACCGAGGCTGATATCACCAGATCACAGTGAGATCCAATTGCCCCTCCAGCCCAGCTGTGACTTACAGCAGAGCAGCAGGAAGAGAGAGCCATCTCTGCTTGTCAGTCACTGTCATACCTCTCCTCTCCCATCCCTTCTGTCTCATAGCCTTTGAAATATTTTGGTGTGTAGCTCACAGATGGGACCACTGGGTCATCCGTGCATGAACAGATACACAAAAGCTACTGCTTTGTCAGAAAGGCAACTCAGCAGATTCAGCGAAATGGTTCTGTAACACAAACTGTTAATAAAACCTACTCAGAAGCAAACTGGTGGACTTGGCAAAGCCATTGTATTCAACAGAGCAAGTGAAGTTGGTGTCTTCAGTCACGCTGATCCGCACTTTGGCAGTGATGTTGTACAGTTTGAAACTGGACTCGGACACCAAGCTGTCATTCCACTCCACGGACTTGTTGTTGAGGGCTCCAGAAATTTTGGGTCTGGGGAAACCTCCATGAGAAGAACATATTACTGCCATCTCAGTTGATTCACAAGAATTAGTGAGTACGTCTGCTGTTACGTTCGGCGTGCTGAAATCAGCTGAAGCAAGAAAGATTAAGTTACTGTTCTGTCATATTACAGCAAGGGCTGCAGTCCTGAACACCCATGGTCAAAGCAAAGACTCCCCCACAGGGCATCCTTCCACTCTTTGGCATTTCTTGTGCCTTAGCATTCTCCCCACAGCCTTAACCATATACGGCTTTTGGTGCTTCTCCTCCCTGGACAGTACACAGAACTCATGACATCACCTCTCCAATGGCACTGTTTCACTCTACACGCAGTAGTTTGTGGAACAACAGAAAGAAAATACGAGACCGAATAAAAATCCATGTAACAGGCAATGGCAGAAAATTTACCCTCCCTGAGTAGTCCCTTCCCAGTCAGAAGTTCACAGAGGGTCCATCTCTGCTGGGAAAGGAGGTAAGTTGCATGCTGTTGTCTCAGCTGGGACAGCCCTCAAGAGACTGAATTACATTTTCTGCATCAGACTCCCTCCTGAAGGCCTAGCTGAGAGAAAGACCAAGTCATGCCAGTCATTGCAAAAACATGTGGCAATGCACAGGTCCTCTCATAACATGTCCTCACTGGAGTTTGTCATCACCAGTTTTCTCAGGTTTCTCACCCATATAGCTTGTTCCTTGCCTTCCTGTCTGGTCAGATGTATCGGTGTAAGTGTTCATGAGGCTGCATGGTGAAATGCATAAGAGGACTAATGTGAGTGAAGAAGGAGAAGAAAGGTGATGTCCTTTTCACCCTGCTTTCCTTTGCCAATCTTGTTCACTGTGTTATGTAAACAGTTGCATCGGTCCAACTAAGGATGCCCACAGGTTGCAATAAACAGCCCAGGGTGAAGAGGAGGAGGCAAGGAGTGGCAAAAGAACTTGTTAAGGAACTATTTAAGGCACCTCTCACTGGAAAAAAGTCTCCGTGGGACTACATCTTTAGTAAGAGAGGCACCAACCAAAAAAAGAAACTCAGCACATGACTTCCTGGTGGACATAAGTCACATCAACACCACTGCTGCCAAAGGCACCAAATTCTTTCTCCCACCCCTGCCAGCTGTAGGTCCATAACCTGCACATACTCTCAGGCACTATCCCCAGCCATGAGAATGCCAGGCAGAGAGCTGCAGCAAGTTGCTCAACTCGTTGCAAAATGATGCTTTTTTGGAGCAGCTAAGGTTTGGTCTGCAATTGCTCCCTGCCTGACTCACCATTTGACCACATGACTTTTGGGATGCGTACGAGACAGACGGCTTTGTGGTTGTAGCACATCTTCCATGGCCTCTGATGACCATGAACCCATGGTCTAGGCTACCAAGTAACTAGTGAAAGAAACTTACTCAACACGGCACAGCCAACCAGTGGCAGACAAAGAGAGACCCAGATTTCCTTCCAGGCCCACTCTCTGCTGAGCAATACAACATTGACCTCCAATCTGGAAAGTCCCTTCAAACATCCCAGCCGGCTTCATTGAGACTCCCTGATCACTCAGCAGGGAGTAACACCTTTCCATCTCTCCCTGGTTAGCATGATTCCAGCAGGGGGTGAGGGGAGATTCCCTTTTCCTGAACCCCATAATAACTGATCCCAATTTACCAAAAGGAGCAGAATTCTACTACAATTTTTACATTTGGTCTGTTAACATAAGAAGGGGATTTCTGGAAGGAGAGAAACTAGAGCATTCGCAGTGAAGAAAAGAGATGCGTTGTTTCGCACTCTTCATGCAGTTAACTCCTCAGCCCTCACAGCCAGAGAGCATGGTGGCAGTGCACTTCCCTTTTTTCACATCATTTCCCAGAAAGATCACTAAATTTGTCTCCTTGCACATATGCCTTCCATGCCCACAGATAGGCAGGCAATGGCCAAACCTCTGGAGTCTGGGTTTTTTTGCTGACAAATATCATTCCAGGTGAGGAATTTTCTTCACTGGTTTTTCTGGAAGATTCCTGGAACTCTTTGATGCTAAAGGTGTATGTGTGTGTGTGTATATATATATATATATGTAAATATCTGTATATATTTATATATGTTACCAGCATCTCTGCCTTTGGTTGAAACCAAGCACTAGTGGTGGAAATGGAAAATAATGTCAATGGAACTTTTCGTATCCTCCAAGAAAAGATTCAGATTCACTTTGAGCAAAGGAGCTCGGGTTGTTTCTTTAAAGTAAAAAAGGCTCAAAACTCCAGCCAACTTCTGCCTTAGGTTGTGGAGATGCAGTGCAGCTGGCAAAGAACTGGCCAGCCCTCCTGGGGAACCTGAGCTCCCCAGGGGTTGGATGCAGGGCTGGGATGCTGCTGTGGCCACAGAGAAGCAATACCACCTCATTCCTCTTTCACCTCATTCCTCTTTCAGCCTGCATGCTTCCCATGCACCAAGGGCTCAGTCTCTGCTTTGCTCAAAAGACAGCAGTGGCAGAGGTGGCTTAGGGCACCCACCAGCAGTGGGACACCTGGGGAGGTGTCCTGGGAGGGGTCTTTTTCCAAGAGGGAGGCATCAAGTGGAGGATGTGGGACTGGTAGTGGGAAAGGTAAATTTTCTGCACCTGGGGTAAATTTGGGGAAGGTTAGGAGGGAGGCTGCTAGAAAGACAATATTTAACATGCCTTCTGTCACTCTTTTAGGCTTCTTGATGAAAGTCTGTCAGCTACACTATGACTAAAGCTTGGAGGAATGTCCTTTATCCCCAGAGGTTAGCACCAGAAAGCCTCAGGCGTCAGGAGGCAATCCACTTACCTGTAACAAAGAGGGTGACAGTTTCATCACACACAACAGACGGGTTCTGTAATAACTCGCGCTTCTGAACTATACACTGGTAAAAGCCATTGTCCAGGATTTCCACCGGGGAGATCCACAGGGTGAGGTTCCTGAGGTCCATCTCTGTCCGGTTGTCATACTGTTTGTCATTGGGCATCTTCTTCCCTTCTGAATAGGCAGACACTACCTCTCTAATGTTCTTCTGCCAGTAGACTCGGTAATTACTTAGGCTTTCTGAGCTGGGAATTTCATGACAACAAGGCAGGCCAATTTTTTCCCCCACTTTACTTTTGAATACTTTCTTCTCCAGTGCGTAGCCTGTAGGTGGGAGACAAAAAAAGTCAGTGAGGCGGTGATATAGCCTTGTACCGGGACCTGCTGCATAGAGCTCATCTCTTTCAGCTCTCTCTGTACCTGCTAATGTCTCTCATCACCCACAGAGCTGTTTACAACATCAGCTCTGCACTGAGGGGAGGCCTGCCTTGGCATTACTTTTCACAGGATGCTCCAGTCCTACTTAGAATCCGAAGCAAGTGGGCACACAATGGTTTCTGCATGGATTAGTGAAGGCAAAGGCAGTGGAGTTACCTGCCTGAAGAGAAATTTTGCTGACCCCTTAAAAAACCCCACACCTCCACATAAAGGATTACCATTATTCATATACAAGGATAAAAACATACATGCCTAGACTACTATCTCCTCTGCTCTCCCTTTGCAGAGCTCGGTGTTTGGAAAGTCTGTGTCATCCTCCTGTGGGTTCCCTGCATGCCAAACAAGGCCACAGTGGAGTATTAGTTAGGGGTTTGTGTTTTTTTTTTTTTTGAAAGGGTTTTTTTTATCAAAGAAAAAACCCCAAATCATTCAAGATCCCAGGAGCTAGAAGCAACCCTACAATGATAAACAAAGTTAGAGCCACACTGTCATCAGTCTCCTAGTATTGGCAGATCAACAATTTTGCATAGTCTAGCTAAAACAAATTTATATTTGCAAAGGTCCATGGGCCTTCCTTGGGATTATTTGCAAGCCAGCACAGGCATTCCCCAACTCCTGCTCAGGGACCACGTCATTGCCATACCTAGTATACAGGCGTGTGCCTACCCTTGCAGGGGGAATTTAGGTACATTTTTCACCAGGTTAACAGTAATCCCCCTGCTTTGCCCTACAACTCCTATGTGCTCCACTCCTGTTATCAGCCCTTCTTTCCCACTTTTCTTCCTCTTTCCAGTGGGTAGGTGCTCACAGAAGCCAGGACCTGACAAGCAAAGGGAGCAGCCTAGTGAGGAACTCCTGCTGTTGCTGGAAGGGTGACTCAGTACCAAGGAACCTGTGCTGCACCAAGGCCAGGGCAGAAGGCTTGGGTTTGTGCAGCCTCTAGGATGATGTTTATTCCTGCACACCCTGGTTTGTTAGTCCAGAAGGTCGGGTTGCTTTATGTCTGACCTGCTTGCCTCAGCCTTGCTACCTTAGCATCCATCTCCAGCAGTGGAAGGGGCACACCAGTCTGTTGCACTCCATTGACTGAGGGCGTTAAAATCAAGCAGGGAAGATTCAGACTTCTTCTTCCTTCCCTGCAGAACAGATCTCAGAAACATGTCTGAGAGAAAGTAGGAAAGTCCTGGCCTAAGAACAATGACCCATCTCTGGGAAGGTCCAGTTCACACAGCTAATGCCTAATCACAGCACTCATGGTGTGACAGGGATGCTGTGACATTTGGATTCAGCTCCAGTGCCCAAAACCACCACAAGCTAGTTGCCCACCAGGATTCGTTTGCTTAGCAGGGACTCACAGACCCTCGGGACACCGTCACACAGCTGGCAGCAGGAACTCTGCAGCACACTGACCTGTGCCCAGCGGCATGGCTTAATGATGTGCTTCACGATCCTCAAGCCGCTGGTGCTGGAGGGACCCAAGAAGGTGCTGAGCTAAATATTGGGGCAGCACTAGGGTCTGCTTATTGAAATTAAGCCCAGACGGAGAGCCTGGGATAGAACATAGAATGTCTTAGGTTGGAAGGGACCTTAGAGATCATCTAGTCTGACCTCCCTGGCATGGGCAGGGATGCCTCTCAACTAGACCAGGTTACTCAATGCCTCATCCGGCCTGGCCTTGAACACCTCAAGGGAGGGGGCATCCACAACTTCTCCAGGCAATATATTCCAGAGTCTTGCCACCCTCGTACTGAAGAATTTCTTCTTAAGATCCAATCTAAACCTATTCTCCTTCAACTTAAACCCATTTCCCCTTGTTCTAGCTCGGGACACCCTTGTAATAAGTCTCTCCCCAGCCTTCCTGTATGTTTCCTTCAGGTATTGGAAGGCAGTTATAAGGTCCCCCCAGAGTCTGCTCCTCTCCAGGCTGAACAATCCCAGCTCCCTCAGCCTATATGAAACAAGCATGAAATAAGCTTTCAGCCCTGCTCCCCTGCAGCACACCTACCCCTGTACTACTTGCACACTTTACATTAAATCTGTAAGAAACACACTGACAAATACTGGGGAGGTCCTGACAACACTGTGGAATGTTTTATTAAATAAACTAGAATACATTATTAAATACGAAGCTTCTCATTTAACTGTTTTCCCTA